TCAAATATTTTTTACTCTTATTTTAATATTAGTAAGCACATGTAAGAACTGTCTGTCTATAGAAAGTGGGTTAATCCTGCATATTATCCAACAATTAATTTGTTCCTTTCACCTATCTCACCAGTGAATTAAAATATTGGGATTTTTGGAAAGTTTGAAATCAAGATTAAATAGAACACTCCTTTTCAGTTAATAGTTTAGAGTTCACTAAGAAATAATAACAGAAAGCTCTGCCAACCCTGATAAGCTAAGAAAGTTCTTTGAAGTTCATTTTACTTTTCTTAAAATGGAAACTCCCTTTTAACATCAGCTGTGTTTAGTGAGTCACTTTCCTAATTTTTGCCAAAATGTATTTTTCCTTTGAAATACAAGAACTATCATGTTACTAGCTTAAATGTACTACAACCTCCAAGTTTATAATTAAAAAGATGATATGAAGATTACATGAATGTAAGATGAACCAAATGAGTCATTTTACGTTATTTCACTTATCCATTCAATCTGAATAAAATCTAACTTAAAGCACTGCTGTGAAAAAATTCACTTAATATATAAAATAAAATCCACTATCTTTCAAATATAAGCTTACAAATATGATATTAATCAAAGACTATTCAGCAATCACCTAGAGATTACTAGGTTTAGGTATCATTGAAATGAGGAAGATTAGGCTGAACTCTGAGTGTAAAATACAACAGTGGGAGAGAGGGAAAAGGTACATATCCATGTTCATTGCTGCACTAAAGGTCAGAATAGCCAAGTTATAAAAACAGCCCAGATGCCCTATAATGGATGAATAGATCAAGAAAATGTGATATACACATATTTATATTATATATGTACATCTGTATGTATATACATATATATGTATACACATATATTTATATAAATATACATATATACACACATATATGCATCAACGATGGCATTTTACTCATCCATCAGGAAAAATAATATTATGTTTCTGGAGAGAAATGGATAGACCTGGAAAAGATTATATTGAGTGAAGTAAGTCAGAATCAAAGAGAGAAAATGTTTTCTCTCATATGTGTAAGTTAGATCTAATTTATAAACATATATGAAAACCTATACAAGGCTACATACAAATATAAACAAACTGACTAAAGAATGGTAGAAGCAGGGGAGGATTCCAATGGTGTAATTCCTTTGAACAACTAACTTACAGTTTATTAAATGAAGCTGGAAGCTGAAACATGTTTTGTCAGACAGGATGGAGTCAAGGGGCAGGGAGGGGGTAGATGAATTGAGAGATGAAGGATAGGTAAATATAATCATAATATTCAATGTACATATACAAAAATGATACCAGGTAACTTGAGGTAATGTGTGGGGTTGGGACAGGTGAGGGAAGAATGATGGAAGAGATGACATTAATCAAGATGTACTGTATTCATTAACTGACGTGCTGAATTGAAATCCCTTTGTACAATTACTTAAAAACAATAAAAAATTAAAGTAAAATAGCTCACAGTTTTTAGTAAATTACTGAGCAAATCTTGATGTGGAATACTAATATTAAGAAGGAAAAGTTTGGGAGGCCAGATCTGAAGAGTCCCAGCTAGACATGGAGTTTGAGAAACCTCTTAACTATCCCACTTCTGTGACACATTTTTTATGCTGTAATTTTAAAATTCATCACACTGGCTTATCTACATATTCATTTCTTTCACACTATGAACATGAAGTCCTGAAGACAGAGTCTGTAACATTTATTTCATATCCTTGAGATGACCTATACCAAAGTAATCAATTAAAATAATCTTAGAAAAATGAGGCAGTATTCTAGAATTTGGGAGACATACAAACCAAAGTAAAAAGATTTACTTTTTTAGCAGTCTTCATTACCAAGACTTTACCTTGAACAAATAATATCAGTAAAAGTTTTGGCAGAATATAAGCCCACTTCAGCACTGAGCCTTCCAGAATGTAAGTAAGATCATTTAACTGTGGTGCTTAAGGAAACCTTGCCCCTGCTCCCCTCCCACCCCCCCAGTGGCTGTGGGCTCATACCTAGTAGATTTGTGAACAGATTTCCCTATACTTTACAAAGGCAAACATCAAAAACCTGCACAATATCACTCTATTTACATTATTTTTTCAGGCCTTTATTATACAAATCTAACAGATTTGTACAATCATGAATTATTTGAACAATGCTAAAAATTTAGACTTTGGACTGGGTGCCAGTGGCTTACATCTATAACTCTTAACTACCCAAGAGACAAAGATTTGAGGATCATGGTTGAAAGATAGCACAGGAAGATAAATCCAAGAGACACTTATCTCCAATTAACTAACAACTAGAACAGGAGACAGGATTCAAGTAGCTGAGTGCTAGCCCTGAGAACATGAGGCACTGAGTTCAAGCTCCAGTACTGACCAATACATACAAAGAACAAAATCTTAGAATTCTGAAGACAGAGACAACAAATTCCTCATTTGCGTGTAAACATGACAAAAAAATTCAACCCTAGAGAAATTGCCCAAGATTGTGCAATCATTCAAAAATGGAGTGAGATCTAAAAACAATTCCCAGTGCAGAATTTTTTTCCCTAAAGACTGACATTTTAATGAATAAAATGGATTAGTGTGGCCATTTTGTAAGTGACTAGACATCCCACTTTTATAATTTTCCTATATATTTATGTTTCGATCAACTTTTTAGAAAGCCTATGGCTTATTAAATGGTATCAGGCATATAAGTAAACAAAACTGAATCATATAAAGCCACTTACCATTATCATATAGCTTAATGGTACTGAATGTGAATAGGGGCCTGTATGGCTACGGGAGCTGAAGAAGAAGGGAGCCACTTGTAGGGTTTGTAAGGCTTGCGTTATCATATTCAGCTATCCTTCTATTTTCATCTTTATTCTTTATCTGTTTTGGTGATGATGAATTCTTTTTTTTTTTTTTTTGCCGGTCATGGAGCCTGAATGCTGGGCCTGGGTGCTGTCCCTCAGCTCTTCAGCCTAAGGCTAGTGCTCTACCACTTGAGCCACAGCATCGCTTTCAGCTTTTTCTGCTTATGTGGTGCTGAGGAATCAAACTCAGGGCCTCATGCATGCAAGGCAAGCACTCTACCACTAAGCCACCTTCCCAGCCCAGTGATGATGAATTCTTATTTCAAAGGCTTTTCTCTGTCCTTTTTGCTTTCTCCTCACAAAAAAAAGTGAAAGCATTTTACATTTATTATATACAACTTGTTGGCTAACAGACACATGATTCTTGAAATAAAATTTAAACAAAACAATTAATTTCTAAGCCTTTACTCCAGAAACATGGAATGAAAATTTTTTTTCCCAGAAAAATTCTGAAATCAGAATTGGGTGGTGGAGAGGGGCTCTCTCCATTCTAGTCATTAAAAGAACAAGGTTTAAAGGTAAACCAGATACCTCTTTAGCGTGCAAAAGGGAAAAACGTAAAGGAGTAGTACATGGTACAAACTCCATTTTAAAAATAATGATGATCAGCACAACTTGTGCTAACTTCTGGCAGATATCTAAGACATGAGAAATCAACACTTAAGTTTTAAGATAAGTTAATTATAATAGTAATTACAAATTAGAATCCAAACTATTTTCACACCTAGCTTCACATTTTCATCATGTTTACACTGTACATGTCAGTGTCACCCAATGCTTACAAAGTATTTTAATGATATAGCTTGTCATTTGAATTTTAACAATATATATATTCTTTACAGTTTTGAAATGAAAAGTCTAAGGCTTGCAAATATAATGATTTCTGATTCCAAATATAATATATACTTTATGCAGAAAGATTAAAAAACTTGCATATGTAAATTCTCAATACTTTCAAAAGCTGAAAAATAATATTGCCTTAAATTCCTAAGTATATATGTTTTCAAGCTCAAATTGCTTATAATTTGTTATATTAAAAAGTTGTGGCTGGGAAGTTGGCTCAGGGTATAGTTCTTGCCTTGCATGCATGAAGCCCTGGGTTCGATTTTCTCAGTACCACATAAGCAAAAAAAAACAAAAAAAAACACAAAAAACCTGTCAGAAGTGGTGCTGTGGCTCAAATAGTAGAGTGCTAGCCTTGAGCCTTGAGCTGAAGGACAGCACCCTGGCCCAGAGTTCAGGCCCCAGGGCCACTGAACAACAACAACAAAAAGTTATTGTTTTGTACATCTCATTGTTACAATGGGTCAACCTGTATCCTTGTTTCAGCATATTGTTATTTCCATTTCCCTCCCCAAATTAGAAAAATATATATACAAGGTGCAGAGAACCAGACTCAAATACAGACACTATGTTGAAAACAAACTTTACGACTTTGGGGGTGGGGGGAGGGAGGTGGTAGGGAGGTGGGGAGGAAAGGGATGGTAGAGGAAAAACAAAGGAGGGGGTAACAAGGCTTGATAGGAAATGTACTCATTGCCTTACTCATGTAACTGTAATCTCTCTGTACAGTATCTTTACAATAAAAAAATACTTTAAAAAGTTGTTATCTTGAGACTTAATGGTATGGTTGAAATGTTAAAGCATCTGCCTAGCAAGTTCAAGGCCTCAAGTTCAAACAAGAGCAAAAAAAGTTTTGTAATTTCCAACTGTCTCACTTTTCTTAATGCATTCAGTAACAAGTAAAATAATTCCAAGTATGTGATAGCTAATGAACAGAAAGAGCCATCTTTAAATATAAACACAAACATTCCTTTCGCCAACTGGGTAACTGAGTTACATTCAATATTATATATATTTAAATGTTACAGGTCTTCCAACTTCTGAATTATCTGTTTTATAGAGCACGTATACAAAATACTTACTATTAATTTACCAAATCTAAATTTACTTTAGAAATAACTGCTGTGAGATCACAAAAATGAGATGATAAAATAGAATTTAAGTGTAAAACCTGACCATTAAAATGTTAGGCATTTTATTTCTGAAGAGAAATGTATATTCATAAAAACTAGCATTTGGACACAAAAATAATAATCAAAGAAAAGGGCTCACCAGTCTGAGCGAAACCAAACTGATGCAGGATCTCCTCAGGGGTCAGCATGTTTGGCTGTTTTAATTTAGGCTGTTGTGAGGAGGTGGGTGGTGGTGAAGTTAAGGAGAGATTTTTGTTGACCTGCAATAGAAAAGGCAAATTAGAAACTACAGTGTAATTTCCTGAGTTACTGATGCAAAAACTGGATGAGAAATATTTGCTTACTGCTCAAATCAGGACACATGGTAGATCAAAAGGAGTAGTAATGATTTACACAACTAGTTTTTAAAGTTGACTAGACAGAACGATTTTTTTATAAGAAAAGAATGAAGTAGAGATAAAGGTATAAACATTCAAAAGCACATCAGACTTCTTACAGTTTCTTTGTCACAGAATTGGTATTATTTAGTCATTTAAAACACAGCAGTCTTAACATACAATTTAATTAAGGAAAAGCTAAAATGTTTGTATCCATGTTTCTCTAACATTTTAGTTAAATGGCAGGAACCCTCTTTTCAGAAATGGCACTCCTCTGTTTATATGAAGCATGGTGACACAGATAATCTGGCTGTTACCTGACCTGTCATGTGAAATACTTCCCACTGCATCAAAAACTACTTTTTATTATGTTTAAAAACAGTATGACTATATAGGTGACAATTAAATTTTTTAAGTAAATGTAATGTTTTACAATGCATGAAACCTGCTGTGAATGTCTGATGGAATGCATAACATCTTTTAACTATAATTAAAATATTAGCTATCTTCCTACAATAACCCACTAAAAATGTTTGAGAACTTCATTAATAAATTTATCTTTGTAAATTAGAATTTTGGGGAAAATCTAGTCTTTTGTTCATTATTGGATAATTATTTATTCCTTTAGTTACTTCCAAGAATCATAATAAAATGCGAGAATTTTTTAAATAGCCAAATTTTAAAATTTGCCACAAATACATAATCAGCAAATTCACAAAATGAAAAGATAATTTACAGTATATACATAAGAAAATTCCTTTTCTTTACTTTTGGTTTAAATAACCAAAACCACACAGAGGACTTCCACTGCAATAGTATTTTAAAAAATTCCCGTTTGGTGTGCTGTCTGAAAAAGGGAGTACTGTATAAGGGAGTAGTTATATGCCCTTTATCTGACTCACTTTTTACATTTTGGTAAATGCTTCTTTTCCTTCAAACAGTGATAGTAAACAGTATATCCTAGATTAATTTTTCCTTTGGAACAAAGAGCTTTAACAGATTTGGTGAAGAGTAAATGAAGACCATATAATAATACAGTTCTAAACTATCTAATTTATTATGATGTAAGTTCATAAAACAATTTTTATTGCAGTGCTGGGATCAAACATTGGCTTTGCCATCCTAGATAAAGTTTTCCACTACTGAATTATAGCCCCAGATCTAAAATATTCTTTAAAGTAGTTAGAAAGTGTTAAATATACTACATCAATGCTAAATATTATACAGCTTTACAAATTCTCAGATCCATTATTATACACAGACAAAATTTAATGTTGAATAATTATATTACCTAAACTAACAATAAATTCAGTATCTTTTTATTCATCTTTAAATGGAGATGATTAAAAATAGCATCTATGCTTTAATGGGAATATACCAGAATAGTTGAGCTAGTATTATAAAGTGTGATTTACTGGTTAACCACTAAATACTAGATATATTATCAAATAAGAAATAGATGAAATAAGACAGGGATATGGCTTAGTGGTAGAGTGCTTACCTAGTAGGCACAAAGCTCTTGGTTTGATCCCAAGTACTATTATATATATATATATATATATATACACATACATATATATATATACACACATACATATATATATATACACATACATATATATATATACACATACATATATATATATATGAAAAGATAAACTATAAAGTACTGTATCTATTATTAATGTATTAGTGATGCCATTTGGAAGGCATATTGAAAGGTATATTTAATTTAGCATGATAGTACAGTAAATCTTCCAGAGTTCTATGCTTTAAATGGAAGTACTGTCTATAAAAGGATATATTTGTCACTTATTTAATTCACTGCTTTTTAGCCATTCATTATTTTTACTTCTGAAGTATTCTTCAAAGTTTTTCCCTCTACATGTTAAGCAATACATTTAAAATCTGGTTCAAAAACACAGGTATATGCTGGGGATATGAATTCATGTGCATCTCAATATAAGATTATGATTTTATTCACATTTAGTTATTTTGGAAGAGACAGAATAGTTTAACAAAATCAGGATGGCCTTTTGTCATCTACCTTGTGTGCTGAAACAAATAATGCCAGCAAAGCTAGAACAGAATACTTAATGTCTTTGTTCAAATAGAAAGACCTGTCACTCTTTTAAAAAATGTTATTTCAAAATGAAATAATTACATGTTCTTCCCAATCATTTTTGTAATTCTATTCTTTTCTTTTGGACCATTTAAATGTCCATAAAATGATGAATAAAGACATAAAAAGGCAGATATCTTTATTTTCAAGTTTTGTGATTATTGCTTTTATTAATGATTTAAAATTAGAACACAAAGCATTTTCAAAACTAGCTTAAAGATATTTATCACTTAGGAGAAGAAAAATAATAATAACCATTAAATAGAGTGAAGCAATATCTATTTTTGAAATATCTGCTGTGGACAAGAATTGCTTAACAACTTTACAACAACAGAAAGGTTGGCTAAGATAGTCTACCCTATTCCAACCTACCCTCTTTTCACAACACATTATTTCTGCTTGCTTCATGCAAAAACCACAGTCTGCCAAAGGCAGTTTAATACCTCTATACTGGAGAATATTAAAGACAAAAAGCATAAATGAGACTCAGAAAAGGGAAAAAGAAAAAAATTACAAACAACCTCTGCCAAGACAATCACAAAACCATTTGCCTACTCTTTTAAGTTACAGGCAGCTTCATGCAAAAATATGTAAACACTAATTCTGTAGAAGTGGGTTAATTTTTATGTAAAGAAAATGTCACTGCCTTAAAATTAAATTAAAATGACATATATATGTCATTTGAATGTTTTATATATACACACACACACACACACACACATATATATATATATATATATCTCACATTTAACATTTGTGGGAGAGATACAACACTCATTTCCACCTATACTTACAGGTCTTAACATTTTAGCTGACTTTAGGTTATATGCTTTCACCAACTGAAAAACTGTTTATAAATGTTTAAGCTTTGAAGACTCCTCAAACTGGTTTTAAATTATAACTGAAAAGATGCTGATACTAACATATTACTAAAAGTTTACAAATGCATGTCTTTCCCTAAAGAGGTGTCAATTTTTCCAAAAATCTAAACAATAAAATAGGTAACATTTTAATTCGAAGACAGTTCTGGAAGTAAACGTAACACAACAAATGCTTTGTTGCTAATCATATATCTGGTGTAGAAATTACAATTCCAGTATTAAAGAACAAGCTACATAGAAAGTTGGAGCTAAAGTGAGAGTCAAAGCATATAGTCAAATATCTTTGTCTTTTACATTCTCAGAATATAAATTCTAAAAGTAGCTATGTTGCTATGATTTCTTAGTGAAAATCAATGAAATAAGAGGACTATGGTATCTTAAGGAGAAATTTAAATATCTCTAGGCCCTCAAATATTTCCTTTACAAGCTGTGACAGAAAAGTGATTGTTAAAGGAATTGGTAAGATATTAGAAATTTTACCCCTAGAGGATGGGAAGGGGAAACAAAGGAGGAGGCAACAATGCTTGATAAGAAATGTACTCATGGGGCTGGGAAGGTGGCTCAGTGGTAAAGTGCTTGCCTTACATGCATAAAGCCCTGGGTTCGATTCCTAAAAAGCCAGAAGTGGTGTTGTGGCTCAAGTGGTAGAGAACTAGCCTTGAGCAAAAGAAGCTCAGAGACAGTGAGTTGAAGCCCCAAGACTGGCAAAAAAAAAAGAAAAGAAATGTACTCATTACCTGGCCCATGTAATTGTAAACCCTATGTACTGTATTTTCACAATGAAACATAAAGAATAATTTTTAAAAAGACTGGAGAAAAAAAAGAAATTTTACCCCTAAACTACCTAGTTCGTTACTGCTACAGTCACTAAAACCAGAATTCAAATTTGAAGCAGTCATTACCAAGTTTTATTTTGTAATATTTAATCAAGATATTTTGATTCTTTGATAGCTACCAAGGTAGTTCAAAGATTACTGATATGATTCTTCTCTGTAGAGTTCAAAATTAAGATCTAGTCTGATTTAAATAAATCATTTAGCACTATGCTTCTTGCCTCTGAGGTAAGACAACTGACCTCTGACATCTTGGATTTTTCTAAGACTTTCCCTCCTTTCTATTCTAATATACTGACCTAATTTACAGGAAAAACTTTCTAAACTCTTCACTTCCAAACCTATAAAAAATATACCTCTTAAAGTTACATATCTCTTTTCTTTTAGTGTCCAAGATAAAAGTATTAGTAAGATTTATTATCTTAGTATTGGTTCTAATAAGGTATGTTCTCAAACCTTTCCAAATTCTACTGACTATTTTACCACAGGCTAAAGGCATAGCCACTTCTACAGTAGTACAATATAGAGAGCAAACAAAAACTCTCCAATTCTGGCTTCCTGCCCAGGCCAGCTTTGATCCATGATCCTTAGATCTCAGCCTCTTAGTAGCTAGGTATACAGTTGTAAGCCATTGGTGCCCAGCTTTCACTTTTAACTTTCATTATTGCTCTTCATTTGGCCTACTTAGAAATTCTTCCTGTTCTTTTTTTTTTATTGTCAAGGTGATGCACAGAGGGTTTTCAGTTATGTAAGTAAGGTAATGAGTATATTTCTTGTCAACCTTGTTACTCCTTTTTTCAATTTCTCTTATTTTTCCTCCCCCGCCACCCCCGCCCCAGTTATACAGATTGTTTCTAAAATATTGTCTTGAGAATATCGCTGTTGCATTTGTTTTCCCCTTGTCTCACCATTCTGTTGTTGCCCTTCCCTTCCCTAATTCCTATACACATATATACAATATCTGAGTACCAACTGAGGGAAGGGGTAACAAGTTTGACAAGAAATGAACTTATTACTTACCTTACTTATGTAACTGTAACTCCTCTG